GCAGAAAGCAACCACATCAGCCTTGTTTTCTTAGGAATTAAGGGGAGTAGAGTGATCACCTTATTTTTGTGCTTAGTCTGATCCCTAGGAAAAAATGTTTCCAAACACCATATTCCACAAGATAATACACAATTGAGACATTGCTATTCAAACTGAGAGCACACATTTAACAGATTTCTATTTGCATTTATACCTTATTTTATATTACAATGCCATAAAGAAGGATGAAGGCACTTGTCACAGCTATTGTTTGTCTTTCTGAAGTTAATTGCACTTTAAAGGTTCTTTTTTCCTCACCAGAAGCAGAACTATAAACTGCCAGGACTGACTGTGCAAGAAAGCAGCATAAAGGTATGACCATGTATATTTGATGTAGGATCAAATAAAACTCAGAGGAATTAGAGACGGATAAGTATATGGGCCTAAATCTTTGGAGTTCAAATTCCACTTCAAGACCAAGCCAGGGATATTCTGCTCTGTAGATTTGAGGCATTTAATCTCAGAGCAGACACTTCAGAGGTTTCCTGTTGTGTGGGGCATAAAGTCAGTTGTGATGACTTGATGTCAGATTAGGATTTATTGAGACAGAGATGGACATAGATGGGGTGTGAGGGATGTGCAGTGTGAAAGCACAGCCTGATGCTAATACAGAAGGTGAGCCCTCCCTCTTTAGCTATCTTTTTCTCGTAAAAGAGTCCCTGTTAACTTTGCAGCTGGAATTACATCCAGAGAGAAATCCAGAGTTCATTTAAACGCTGAATTAACGGTGAAATTTGTCAGCTCTTGGATTTTTAGCAGATGTGTTATAAGTCTAACCATTTAAATGAAGAATTGTTCACCAGTTACTCATTAAGGTTAAGACTTTAAAATCTTTCACAACATGGTGCACAGTGTTTGGGCAATCACCCAGCTTGAGTATGTCCCTCTGTCATGAAGGGAATGGAAGTTATTAAACTCGGCACAGGTTTAGTGAGCTGCAGTATGGAGAGAGGTTCTGGCTCATCTGCTCTGCAAACAACTGCATGAGACTGCAGTTTTACCTTTTGATGTGGTCTCATTACAGAAGAGTATGCCAGCTGAATTACCAAAATAAAATACTATTCCTTTTACCTGGCTAAGCACTTGGTAATTTTACTTGAGGTTCTGGGGAGGAGAGCTGAAACTGCTGCAGTGAGCATCATACCCACAGTTCAAGAAATAATTTGGTCCATAGTACCTTCACAGAGGAGCTGAGGTCTCACACCTGGCATCTTTATCCCCTTCATGGAGAGAAAAGGAGGACAAGACCTAGATCTACAAAGGACTAGATCTTGTCCTCTCAGGTCCACGCACATAAGAAACTGTAGTGAAATAGGGAGGCCTCTGCTGTGCAGAGTCCCTCCTTTAATAGCAGATGAACTTCCCTCTCTGTTACTGCATGCATCTGTAGATCACAGTGCTGAGCTGCTGCTTGGATGTGGGAATGGTTTTTGTAATGGTTTTATAACTATGCCTGGTATGTACTTATAAATTACATTTATTTTGGCAACTTTCTTATCTATACCAAAAGTTACTAACAGCAGTCACAGGGCTGTGGCTACTGAACACCTTCCCTGTTCCGTGGTCACCAGCATATCCTCCTACTGCAAATAGTATTCTCCTACTTTAATATTCACTAGTCCTTACATTAAACTTCTCATGGAGTTTTTCCTGGATGATGATTTCAGAACAAAATATTTTTCACTGAAAAGTTCCTCACTGGTATTCTCAGCATTTGTCAACCCTCCTTCAGAGATAAATGCCATTGGGAAGGTGGTGAGATGCTCCTGGCTGAAAAATTGCCTGTTTGACATAAATTGAAGTGACCTGGAAGTTTCTGACTTAGCCTGATCAATTTCAAGTGTACATCTCCAAGTCTGAAGATAAGACTCTTGACTCAAGATAAGAGCTCTTTCCTGTGTAATCTTACTCCTCTTTTGAATTTTAAGTGCTGGTTCTTACCTAGGATGAGAAGACACACCATCATATAAATGAAACCACTGCACAGCTCTGTGAAAGTCTGAGTTCTGCACTAACAAATATTTGGCTGCTGGGCCCTTTTATCTCCCACTTCACAGGAGATAATAGATCCTATTCAGTGGGACCCTGCCCATTTAAAAAGGAGTTAAGGTCTTTTTTATCCTATACCACAAAACAGAAATATGGCACCCCAAAATAGAGACAGATAATTCGATTAGAGGATGTATGAAAGCTTTAGCTTTGCCAGGGTGCTAATTCCCTGGATAAGAGGCAAAGCTTGCTGTGGAGTAAACTGCGTGGTTACAAACCTCTGGGTGAATGCTCTTGCTCTTTGATGAAGTGTGAAGTCATTTACACCTTTTTGCCATATGTTTTGCTGAGTGGGAGTGTGTATGCATGGGTAGTTACCATGGAATAAATGACATGCTGTAAAGTCACGCTGTCAATTAAATTTATTTATGTGCCCGTGCTTTTAGCCAGAGGAACACCCTGTTTCTGGGTGGTGGGTGAAGAGCAGTGTGAGGAAAATGTACTGTCAAAACAAAGCTAATCTGTGCACATGTAGTAGGAAAATCAAGTGCTTTTGAAACATTATGGTCACAAATTGTGTACCTACAGGCTTCCCTGTGTTCTTGGTCATCTCAGTCTGACTCCAAGGTAGCACATGGGGTCAGCCCTGGAGAACTGCAAAGGGAAGAGACTGCTGGCAGAAATGGGAGACCGAGTGTTTGAGATATCTTCAATTCATGTGTCAATTAAAATTGATGCTCACCCAGATCCCTTCTTCAGGGTTTGTAGACACAAAAAGAACAATAAAAAATATTTTTACTGGCTACTACAGGACAAGATGGGGAAATTTTGTGAAAAAAAAAAAAAAATTTGGACCTGCATCAATGCTTACTGTATGGTTAGAGGTGTAGTGGCAGATATGCTCCTGAATCTTTGGCCCAGGAAGCCTTCCTTTGTTTTCTGCACTCACACTGGGCTTGGCTGCACTCTGCCTGTGGGAGTTATTACCATGTGTTGCATCACTGGATTTTTCAGCTTAATTTTGCTCCTTAGTTTTCCTCCAGGAGTCTTCAGAGTTTTTTTATTTTTCCTGCCTCCCTGATGGAAAGAAGATAGGTAGTGACACTTCCACTCAGGTTAGGATGAGCAAGTCCAGCAATGGGTATGTTCTCAAGGGGCTGGGGAAGGCTGGGAAACTTTTCCTGGCTCGTGAGAACTGCTGGCAGCTCCTGATGGACCACTGCCCTTGCCCAACTTTTGCAGCCACTGTCACAAAAAACTAAGTAAATGAATTGTGGGTTTGGTTTTTTTTCAGCTACTTTCTTTGGGTGATATTAAGTACAGAGGTTAGTGGTGGGTGTTAAAATACTCTCCTGGCTCTGGAGCTTTTTCACAGGGGCTCAGATAAGGTGGGGGAGTTTCTTGTGTTCGGTGCCGATTGGTGAATAAACTCAAGTATGCTGTGTGGCTTAACCACAGGGACATGTTTTCTTTCTCTGCCGGAAACACCTGCCAAAAAAGCTGTGCTCACTTGGGCTGTATAAAGAAAAGCCCCAAATGAAACTTCCAGCCTTATAGCAACAGGTCAGGAGGTGATACTCACAGCACACTTGTTTAAATTCAAAGCATCTCACTGCGCCAAATGGATATGAAAAAATCGTGGCTATTAATTAAAATAGAATATCAACATAAAGGAAATAACAATGCTTTGCCTCTCATAGTTAGCTTTTAAAAGAAATACCTTTTACTCTTACTGAATGGGCTAAATTACAAGAAGAATATGGTTGCACTCAGAAAGAGCCTAAATACGTTTGGAGAGTCTCCCTTACCTGGGGAGAATGATTTATGCTAGCAGAAACAGAAGCCGAGGGCAACTGGGGACCTGGGCTTTTCTTAACCACAGAAAGTAAGAGCTTCTTGGTCCCTCACCCAAAGAGCCACCTATTGGGCTGTGGGGTTGAGTTCCCCTGGAGACAGGCAATCCCAGTGCTTTATACATAACTTCTATGGATCAGTTGACTGAAAGTATACAACAGGCTACCGGCCCCCAGGGAAGGCATCGGTGCATACTGGAACCTGATCAAGGCTCCCAGATGACCATGCCAGGGGATCCAGATCCACATTCATGAATATGAGCAGGATGACTGGGACTACAGCTTGTAGTAAAACTGTGGAAAGGGAGCTACCTTGTGTGCCAGGGAATTAACAGATTGTTGTCTACTATCACAGCTGTTTCTGCAGAGTGAGCTTCCTCTAACTAAAGATCCTCTTGGAAACTAGCTGCAGGACCATGGAGTGCAATATGATGTTGGCTGTTTTCTGAACACCCAGTTGTCACCTTGCTCAGCTGTGTCCTGAAGCACTACACAGGATGCCATTTCTTCAAACACCCCATGTTTGAAGATGACACTCAGCCTTGTTATGATCATGCTTCTCAGACACTAGTCATTTAATCTGTGTTAAAAGTCTAACAAATGCACCAATTACACAGTGAATGTTTTGTATGTTAGTTATCTCTTTTATGGCCTCTGCAGCTTTTGAACTGGGCAGGGCCAACTTTGACGTGTCAGCCAAGCTTCAATTAAAGGCTACTTTTGAACAGTACCCAGGTTTGATACATCCTTTCAAGAGGGATCAGTGAAGGATACTAGGAATTGTCAAGGGGAAGGCTTCTGAAGGTAAGGAGAGTGAGGCTGCAGCAGCCACAGGTAAGGTTGGGTGCAGCTGTGATGGAACTGCAATTTGGACAGCAGAGTAACTTCACTGCTGGTGTCACATTATCACCAGCTGTCAGTTAGCTTTACTTCTCATCATACTAGACAGAAAAAAAATGCAAGCTTGTATCAAGCTACATTGTCACCACTGCAAAGAATGGCCTTTGACCAGGGTGTAAAAAAAAAAAAAAAAGAAAACAAACAAACTAGAGAAGTTCTTGAAAGAAAACACCATTTAATGTAAGATTACACAAGGTCAAAGTGCAATTAGAACAAACATGCAGAATACCATGTGCCCCACAAGTCCCACTTTTAAAACCATGACACTTCATTCTCAAAACCACCCCAGGTGTGAAGTCACCTTCCACTTGTTCCTCCCATTCTCTCTAGCTTTACAGAGCAGTGAAAATTTAGCCTATATAAAGTATAAAATTTGTGCATTGCAGAAGATACCTTCTACTATAAAAGTGCAACAGAGACAGAAGTATGTGTCTTTCAGAATCTCCACCACCACCTCGCCATTCTATTAATCACGTTCTGGGATTACCCGTGAGATTCTCCTGTTAGAGTTCCCCAGCCAGAAGGAATGCACTGCATACTGCTTTGGAGGAAGTCCAGCAAAACTGAGACCAGAGCGGAAGACATTGAGGAACTCCCTCCTTGTGACAGCCCTACTGTCTGAGTGCACAAAGAGGGGGCCCTCTCCTGGGGGCCGTGCTCTCACGTAGATACGGAGAGCTTCAACAGGACAGACCCACGTCTCTCTACGTAGGCTCAGTCGGATCAAGCAGCTCTGTTGGCCCACATGAGATGGATGCAGAAAAAGGGTTGCACTTCCTTCTGTCATCTGGAGGTCACTCAGGTACAGGAGGTCTGGCTGTGCTATATTTTGGCGATTTAGTACCATCTCTTCTATATGGAGTACACCAAAAAAAGCTACAGTAAAAATGGCACGGAACAATATACACTCATAAGGACAGCAACACACAGACTCCAGAGTTCCCAGGAGAGATCTTAACACTTCAATTGTTACAGGAGAGTATTCAACATTTGAATGGCTAGTCCTCTGTTTCAGCCTTGATATCATGTAACAGACAAGAGGATCTGAAAGAGGAGCAGGATGATCTACCATTCTGGAGATGAAGGACAGGCCTTCCATATACGTGATTATTTTTGCGGGAGGCAGATCCTGGAACTCCATGGCGACCAGAAACCTTCTAATTTGTTCCACTGGAATTGGCCAGACTGCAGACAGAGACCTGCCGTCTCTAAAGGAAAGAAAGTTTTTCAGGCCTTCATGGTAGTCTTGCCATAAGTGTCCTTCTCTTGAGCCCTCCAGTAATAGCAGAGCCTTCAGGGGCCAAGGGCCCAAGGAATTCTTCTCAGGAACTTGGCTGAGTTTATCTGTTGAAAGAAAACCATGTTAGTAATGGCAAACAAAAGAAGATAGAAGTTCCCTCCCTTTCAACATGCTTCAGCTTTTACTTGAACTTTTTGGGAAAAAAAAAAAAAAAAAAAAAGCCTATCCCATACATTCTTTTGACTGTCATCTGCAGAGTTTCCAACAGCCAGAAAACAGGAGGAGGATTACATTCTCGAAACCCATGAACCCCCACCTATTTGGCTCCTTAAAGCAACATCTCAAGCCTGGTGACAGATCTGACACCCTATTGCAAGATTTCTGTGACCTCAGACCTCCATCAGTGGGCACCAGTGGCTGGAAGCCACAAAGGCACCACCACAATATGTTCAGGAGCATGCAGAGATCTCAGAAGTCTTCCAACAGTGCGGTCAGACCACATGGAAGAACCTGGCAGGACTCTACCCACCTCCCCCACCACTCAGCTGCCCCCTGCCCTTCCCTGTCCCCCCAAGGCCACAGTTACCTTCTCCTTCTCCGCTGCCAGCCTCCAGTCCGCTGGTGCCACACGATGCGGGGCAGCCGTCCGGAGCACACGGCAGCCACCCCAAGCCGGGCTCCCGCCGCAGCAGCGCCAGCAGCGACCAGAAGGGTGAAGGGGCAGCAGGCAGCTCAGCTGTTCTCTCCATCACCAACCAAACAGCAGCCACGCAGCGAAGAGCACGAAGCAGCGACTCCTCGATGGGGCCACCGTGCTGCCCTTTTATACCCTGGCTCTGCTGTGCAAATTGGAACTCCTCCTTTACGTGTCCCTCTGCGGCCCAATCCGAGCCTGTGCCCGAGGGTCCAGGCGGGGGTCCCCCCATCCTGCCTCCTCCGCCCTCTTCCCACGGCTCTGAGGAAGGGACTTTCAGTGCCTTAAGCGGCCCATTATCACATCCATTGTGCTGCAACTAAGGGCTGAGGAAGGAGCACTGGTGACTTAATCTGTTTGTCCGAGGGTGACTTAATCTGTTTGTGCCTGGCATTATTCTTCTGCCCTGCCACAAACCTGCGTCATTTAGCTAGAAAAAGGAGAGAGCCAGCAGCAGGGGGAATTACAAACGCAGTACAGGTCTCTATGACGGCCCGGAGTGCCAGGCAAATCCTGAGGGGATGGAAGCTCCTCGGGAAGGCGGCCGCCGCGGTCCCTGTACAGCTTTCTTCAAAGAGAGACCGAAAGCTTAAGTTGTCAGCTGAGCAGACTGGTAGCTTTGGTTTTTTCTTAGGATTTTTCTGGGATAGCTACTGTGGGAAGGCAGCTGTCTCGTTGAATTGTGCAAAAGCATCTCAGCCTGTACTGCTGTTGAGTAATTCAGAACAGAGCCGGCTGCCCTCACCTATTCTCTACCAAACCTGGAAACCACGTCTTGCAGAGCCCAAGAGAATAACTGGGAGGTAACACAAGTACATTTCTCTCATTTTTAACCTTGTCACTAAATCCAGCCACATTTCAGACCCTGGCAGAGGACGCAGTGAAGGCCTCGCCGTTTCACACCTTTCCGTTCTCAGGCCACGCCCGGCCTCCCGTCCTGCACCCAATGGCCTCGGGCAGCGCTGCGGCCTCGGGGGCTGGTCCGAGGAGGCCTCTCCATAAAAGGGCCCCAGGACTCAGCTCCGGCACTCTGTGTCCGGCGTGGAGCCTGCTGGTGCTGCTGCCATGGCCTGCAATGCCCGCGATCCTGCTCGTCCCGCTGCCATGGCCTGCAATGCCCGCGATCCTGCTCGTCCCGCTGCCATGGCCTGCCCTGCCCGCGCTCCTGCCGCCACGGTGTTCTGGGACATGCTGGCTCTGCTGGCCCGGGAGCCGGGTATGGAGTGGCTGGAGCAGAGCCTCGCTGGGCACAGATTCCCGTCCCCTCCTGGCAGCCCGGAAGCGCCGCAGAGCGGTAGGTGCTTGTTTCTCATTTGAAAAATGTCTCTGGTGCACCTGTGTCAGAGCTGTCTATCAGATAAACTCAGCGTTATCTGGAGGTGCAAGGCGCTCGGGAGTACTGGAGGGTTTTTTGCCTCTTAAGCAGTGCCTCTGCTTATGCCTCTTGTCACCATGTGCTAATGTGGCTCTTCTCTTGCAGGAAGCGAGATCAGCTGTCATCAGAAGCATTCCTTGGGACCTTGTCCTCTGAAGACGCTGTCGTTGCTGGAGCACTCAGGGGATAGTAGGCTTTGGCAAGCCTACCTCGAAGGACTGAAGAAGTTCCTTGTCTTCAGGGAAAGCTTGGGAATGCCTGCAGTCTGGCCAATTCCAGTGGAGCAAATTAGAGGGTTTTTGACTGTGGAATGTAATTATTCCCCCTTGAAGACACTCAAATACATGGCAGCACTTTCTTTTTTATCAAAATTGACCGGTAACTCTGATCCTCTAGAAGATCCTATAACCTGTTGCATAGTGACAGGGTTGAAACATCGAGCGGGTATCCTGAGGGATAAATACTTGCCTGTAACAATTGAGATGTTGCGATCTCTCTTAGGAGTTCTGGAATCTGCATGCATGACTCACTATGAATGCTTACTGTTTCGTGCATTATTTACTGTAGCTTTTTTTGGGGCACTTCGAATAGGTGAGATGGTGGCAAAGCACCGTAATGTACTGCAGCCTGAGCTGCTGCACCTGAGTGATCTCCAGCTGATGGAGAGGAGAGTGCTGCTTTTTCTGCCTTATTCTCCGGTGGATCAGGAGAGACATGTCATCAGCCTGGCGCTGTCTGGAGAGCCCTGGGTGTGCCCTGTTCTGGCCCTCCGCAACTATTTGGCAGCTCGTCCACGGCAGGAAGGGCCGCTCTTCGTGCACTCGGACTTGAGGAGTGTAACGAAGAGGGAGTTCCTGGCGGTCCTCCGGCGTGCCCTGTGCCTGCTGGGGCTGTCTCCGGAGCAGTACGGCGTGCACTCCTTCTGGCTGGGGACTGCTGTCACCGCTGCGCGCTGCGGCTGCCCTCGGGAAGATATCACTCGCCTGGCAAGATGGCCCTGTGTGATCCCAGGAAGGTTCTTGCCAGGGGGACCAAAGGAGAATAGAAGCTAAGCAATCATCTTGTTTATGTAGAGACAAATTTAGCTGTGTAGTTTCTAGCTTTCGACTGGAATTTAGTATTAGCAGCCGAAATTAATTTTCTGCCTCACAGTGGGGTGGTCCTAAATTCACCCAGAACTTGTTTGTTCTGTCTGTATTTGAAGGTAGGGGGAATGTCAAACCTTTGTGCATAGACTGCATTTTTACCTTGTATAATATCTTTATCTTGAGATAATAAATATTGCCTTTTTAAAAAACAGTTTCTGCCTACTAGTTCTATTGCTGGTCTTTACTCAGAGATCATAATCTTAGCTTTGAGAACAAAGAATGACAAACTGACTTTTCTCAGTTTGTCATGCTTTGCTCTCAAAAAAAAAAAATGGAGCTTTTAAGGTACTAGTTCTAACGAGGAAGGAGTTAAATGCTAATATATTTTGGCATAGCTGTACACATTTTAACACTAACATTTCACTAAGGCCAAAAGGAAAGTATAAGCTACATTATTAGTCAAATAACAGACACCAGAGGATGATCATCTTAAAATGTTGGTCATCATTAAAATGTTAGAAATTATACCTTTTACTGTTTAAATGGATGACAGTAACTTTTCATCAAACTCTGCCTCTGAAAAGATTAAATCTTCTAGATTCAATTCCCTGTGAGCATAATTAGCTTAATCAGTATTTTAAATAACAAAAACAGCACATGGTTCACCTAACAGTTAATGATTTCCTTAGGATGTGATATGTGCTGGCCTTAATTTGGCCTGCTTTTTTCCTGAATTTTAAGTTACTTTTTAAAATTGAGTTTTCAATGATAACCATAAAGTACAATGGCTTGAATATTTCTAATTTTGGTGCTAATAGCATTTGTAGCACTTTGATAGCCTCTGGTGGAAAATATTTTTCATCATATGGCTGGATGGGGACAGGAGTTGGTGAGTCAGACAGTCTTTTGAGAACTGTGGTGAGCAAGCCTTTTAGATCACCCTTATTACTATCACTGCTTCAATCCTGTACTAGGAGTGTAGCTCAGCAGGGTAGTTTTGTATCTTGCTCTGCGCTATACCCTTCTCTAACAAAATTACGGGGAACAGAGAGATGGTAGCTAGCTGAAATTTAATGCTGGCTTGACCTCCATGTAGGTGATCAGCTGTGATTTCTGAGACTTTGTTTTTAGTTGAAATACACCCTGTCCATGCAGGGCAGCCCCTCCATCTCTGCTGTGCATGCTGTTGGGCTCACTGTGGGAGTTCACTACAGTGCAGCAACACTCCTGTGGTTATGCTCGTATCAGATGTCAGCTAAAAGCTCTCTTTTTCATTTCTTTCCTTTGTTCACCTGAATTGCTTGTTTGCATGGTAATGTCCATTTCTGTGCATGAAATCTGAAGTGTAAATAGAGCTAAGCAAATGTAGCATCTCCCCAGAAATTATTCCAAGATGCCCACCAGCTAGCTGCTGCTCTTTAGGCCACCGAGCAGATACTTAGAACACGCCTGCATAAGGAAGTGCTTTGTGCTCTGTGGAAGCTTTGGGTTTTTGCTGTCCCCTGTGTATGTGATGTATCTGCTCACTGGCTTGTGCTCTATCTAGGCAGGCCAGTGTCTAGTCCTGTTCCCTTGCTGTGAAAGGTCTGTGTGTTGGTCTTATGTTGCAGGGCTTTAGTAGTGAGTAGTGGGAGGAGGGACTGTGGGGATGGCCTCTGTAGAAAGAGGTAAAAGGGGCTGCCCCAGTCATATTTTTGTTTCCCAGTACCCAAATATTTTAACAGCCTGACCATTTAACTACCTGCTAGGACTCTTCAATTAAATTGATTACAGCAATAAATTGTGCTTCCCAAATGGGGATACAGGAAAGTTTTTTGCAAGTGTTTTAGGAGTGTGAATAGTTGTCCTAGCAGACAGCAATGGCTATATTAATGCTTGCACCTTTAATATAGGTGCTGTTATGAAAGCTTTTAGGTAAGTCTGTCTTCTGGGGAACCTGGTATTTGGCAAGCGAATATCATGATGATTGCTCAGGAATACTGGGAAAGTGGATGTCTGTCTCATCTGTAATTTCTATGTCACTGACACATGAAGCAGAAAAGAGCATTATCTTTGTTCTTATTTCTGCCTACATTTTATACCTATAGCCAGAGTTTTGGTCTTGTACCACTCCCTAGTGGAAGTAAAACCTCAGAAGTAGCACCTCCTGTCCCTCCTGCTCCACTCACCTGGGTATCTGCAGAGCTGTTCCTTTCACATATTCTCACCCTTCTCTTCTCTGGCCACAGTTACATCTGCACAATAACTTTCTTCCTTCTTAGACACGTTATCACAGAGTCATTGCCACCATTTCTAACTGGCCCAGCCTTGTCCAGCAGCACGGCTGTCCTGGAGCCACCTGGCATTGGCTCTGCTGGACATGGGGGAAGCTTCTGGCAGCTTCTCACAGAAGACACAGCTTTAGCCCCCTGCTACCAAAACCTGGCCATGCAAACCCAACACACTAGTTCTTTTCATTTAGCTGTTCTAAAGCATAGAAAAATAATAGGTAATAAGAAGGGTATTCACTTCAAGGTGTAAGATAGGGAACCATTTCAACTCACATTTTTCCCTACCATGTCAGTAAATGGTTTAATGCATTTTTATCATGTTAAGGGTGAAAGGCTAAGTGTATTGACTCCAGAAAAAACTGCAAAACTCTTTGTCATAGGTTGCAATGCAAGATGTAACCAAATGTATTCTATCACCATCAGTTAAAACCAGGTAGAGCAGTGTTCTTTATCTCTTCCATGACCCATCCTTGATAACTCCAGGAGGGATAGCCTCTGAATAGGCCAGCTATCAAAACCATGTAGGGTAGTTTTCTTTATCTCTTCCATGACCCATCCTTTGTCCAAGGAAATACCTTCTGTTAATAGGCCATTAAGTCTCATTACATCTACATCACCACTAGACTTTCAGAAGAAGACTACACCTTCTACAAAACCACTGCTTCAACAAAACTACATCTGCCTCTCACCCACCAGCATCACCAAGTCCTCCTTGGCATTGCTGCTCTGGATCTGTTCATTCCCCAGACCTGGCTGATACCAGGGGCTGTCCTGACTGAGGGCACCCTGTACTAGGTCTTGCTAAACCATGAGGGCTCACTTCTTAAGCTTGTCCAGGCCCTTCTGGATGGCATAGGGTCCCTTGGGAGTGTTAACAGCACCACTCAGCTTGGTGTCATCTGCAAATTTGCTGAGGGTGCACTTAATCCCTTCATCTATGTGCTTAATGAAGATATTCAATAACACTGGCCCCAGTACAGATCCCTGAGGGGTACCACTGATGTCCATCAGGACTCTGAGCCATTGACCACTACCCTCTGGATGTGACCTTTCTACCTATTTCTTATCCATCTAACAGTCCACCCATCAAATCCACCTCTTTTCAATTCAGAGAGAAGGATGTTGTGGGGTCCTGTGTCAAAGTCTTTACACAAAGCCAG